AGCTCTACACTTCCCCTGGTTCAGCCAGATACTGATCAGAGTTATTCTGTCAGAGAGACGTCCCTTGACTAACGCTAATCAAGGAATCTGCAACACTCTTGTAACTCCATTCTCCGTGTTACTATTATTCTATTACAATAAATTGTTCCTTGTATCACTCCTGCTGACGATTGTTGCTGGATTACTGTGTTATCATGTCGTCTGGGACACGGAATCAATCCATTGACGAGCTCTTCTCAGTTGGTCGTCCAGCGAAGGATTACGAAGGCACCGACGATCTGAAACCCATACAGGACGAGGACAAGCTGGGTATTACATTGGCGGCAGCGGTGCTCCCGACTTCCACTGCCCACTATTGTGTCAACCCCACTTCGTATTCCAACCTCCCCTTGAAATGAACAGCTTTTAATGAGGAGGATTTTTAGCCTGGCTCCGCCGCTCGCAGCTTCATGTTGGTGTAGTCCCCACCGACAAACAGAGCATGGCAATTTTATATTGCCTGACGCCCAACCATTTAGACGGGGCGTTGGATGCCGGATTGTTCGCCGAGACTCCGATTGGTAAACTATGTCAGGAGTTAGAGAAACTCCTTAAACCCGCGATGTCAAAAACCGAGGCACTTAACCAACTGTATTCACGACGACGGCGAATTGGAGAAACCGCCAATGAGTTTGCGGACGAGTTATACCGACTGTGCAAATCGGCGTACCCCTCCATCTCCCAGACGGATTGCAGCGATGCCGTACTCTATCACTTTATTAAGTATATAGAACCTCCAGAACTACGGCGTTCACTCCTCCTACAACCGCCCCGCGACTTAAAGGAAGCCATTAACCGCGTCAACATATATGCTAAAATTCCACATAATGAACTCTCCCCCCAACCATCCTTCAGGAATTCCCAAGGACAAAACTGGCGGCGATATGACACCGGTAACCATAACCGATCCGGCCCCTTCAACCGGCCACAATATCCCAAACGCGGCGGTTACAACCCATCCTACAATCTGCAGGTCTGTGCATGTGATAATCCACAGCCAAGCACACACAACAGGCTCACTGGATCGGGTACGCATTCGATTCCACTTGTCCCTCAGCTTCATGCTATGATACAACCATGCTATATTGATATTTCTCTCAATGAGCGCCGAATTAGAGCGTTAGTCGATACAGGGGCAACGATATCTCTAGTAAACCCACAGGTACTATTATACGCCCAAAATGCGCAGATGGACACAAGACCCCAACTCACACGTTTGACCACCGCCGACGGCTCTCGGTTAAACTTTGTCGCAAAATCTCATTGAAACTTACATTCCAGACCGGATTGAGAGATCAGATCTTTTTGGTAGTGCCAGGATTAACCTGGAATGTTTTGCTAGGGCTCGATTTTCTCAGCCGATATGATTGTACCATTCAGGTCCGTCAGCTTACCATCGAAGTTCACAAGCCACCCTGTACCACACAGTTCATTCCGCCTACGTTCGACGAAAACGCAGTCTGTGCCGCTATTCAAGCTAATGTTGCCTTAACAACTATCCACATTGACACTATGTTACCTGACACCAAGAGTGTAACCACATACGGTCGCGAGGCGTTGAGAACCTTACTAATAGACTTCGCCGAGGTCTTCGCGTGGGATGAGGACTCCTTGGGTAGAATAGCATATCTGAGACATTCCATCGACACGGGCAGTGCCAAACCGGTCCGGCAACCACCTCGACGAATACCGGCCCATTTCCACCAGGAAGTAAACCAACTTATTGATTTCATGCTTAAGAACCTAGTAATACGGCCGTCAAACTCACCCTGGGCATCTCCCGTCACACTTGTACCAAAAAAGACGGGAAACTACGTCTTTGTATCCACTACCGCAGATTAAATGCGCTGACTACTCGAGACCCGTTTCCACTTCCGCGAACAGACCTAACCCTTGACGCACTGGGGGGCGCACGCTGGGTTTCTACATTAGACCCCAAGTCAGGGTACTGTCAGGTTGAAATAGAACCTACAAACCGACACAAGACAGCATTTACCCTTCCACAAGGACTGTTTGAATTTGAGACGATGTCATTTGGCTTATGCAATGCACCAGCCACATTTCAACGCCTAATGCAAGTTGTGCTTGCACATCTCCTGCCAAACCAGTGTCTGGTATATCTAGAGGACGTTATCGTCTTTGGACGCACGATAGCCCAACATAATCAAAACCTCACGGCCGTCCTAGTCGCACTGCGCAATGCGGGCTTACGCCTGAATCCACAAAAGTGCACATTTTTACGGGGTAAAGTTACATATTTGGGGCATGAAATTTCTGAAGAAGGCATTCACGCTTCTCCGGAGAAAATCAATGCTGTTAAACTATGGCCAACTCCTAAATCCGTGACGGAACTCCGCAGTTTCCTTGGATTAGCATCATATTATCGGAAGTTCATCCTACACTTCGCATCAATACCTCGACCCCTACATCGTTTAACCGAAAAGGGACGTAAGTTTAGTTGGACTGACGAATGCCAAACTGCCTTCGATGATCTCAAAGCTCAACTCGTCTCCGCACCCATACTCACATTGCTGAACACTGAAGCAGACGCACCGCCGTTTATCTTGGACACAGATAAATAAATAAATTTTAATTTAATGCCAGTTTACAGGCATTGTCAAGGGAAGCGATTAAACACAAATCCGACCAGCAGTGAAAAAAAACTCCTGAGCTTAAGGCATAAAAAATATAGTTGATGGTGGTTTTTGTGGTTTGGAGGGCTCAGGAGAAAAAAACTGTCGGCGGTGGTAGAATATCGACCGTCAAGAAGGGGGGAGATGCACGGTATCGGAGATTATCGGACGTCAAATTCCTTTCATGAAGTTGGGGATAGTCAAAGTAGAGGCGTTGAGGAACAGCTGGTGAGACCGGCCATAGTGTTCAGAGACCACAAACGCCATCGCTACGGTACAGTCGATCAGTAGATTCAGCACCCAAAATTTGTGGGAGCTTTTCTGAATGCAAAAATCGAGAATAGTTCTCTTAAATAAAGGAAAATTTTGCAGAGTTTTCACACTCATGGGTAGTTTATTCCAAATAGCAATTGCATTTACAGAAAAGAACCGACGATATTTAACAGTACGTGCCAGAGGCAGAAATAAGAAGACCTCACGGTGACTGTTACGTCGTGGGTGGATATGATGTCTTAAAGAGGTGAGTGGGTTAAATGTGTGATTATATAAGAGTTTAAATGGCAAAAATAGTCCCTTTTGTAATCTACGGAACCATAAAGGATCGAGGCCTGTAAGCCGGCAACGTTCTTGGTAAGACAAATGTCGGTGTTCCGGGGTTAAAATTCTCTTAGTAAAAAAGTGTTGAACGGATTCTATTTTCTTCCGCTCAGTAGCACGCATGAGGCTAAATGAAAACGAACTGTATTCCAGACCAGGTCTAACGTACATGTTGAAAAGGCGCATTCTAATGTCCCTAGTTTTAAAATTTCGGAGGATAAACCCGGTCGTTCTACGTGCTTTGGAGACTATCAAGGCACAGTGCTCCGAGAGATTGAGACTCTTGGAGTATGATACGCCCAAATCCTTTATAACCCCTGGCACATTTATTGCGTGACCTTCAATACTTAGTTGAGGTTGGCGGTCGTCGCCAACCACCATGACTGAGCACTTATGCCAAGAAAGAGAAAGGCGCCATGTGCGGCACCACTGGGCGAAAGCCTGTAGGTCGCTCTTTAGGAGCTCAAGCACGATGTCATGATCTGCCGGCTTATATCGATATGCAACTTTAAGATCATCGGCATACATGAAAGGCTTACCATTCTGAAATAAATGGGGTACATCATTAACGAAAAGGCAAAATAAAAGCGGGCCGAGTACACTACCCTGAATGACTCCACTCCTCACACGTGTGGGGTTGGAGATGGTATTGGAAATCTTAACTCGTTGTGTGCGAGTGCCCAAATAAGAGGATATAAAATTCAAAAGTTTACCACCTATTCCGAAAGAGGACAATTTCAAGAGGAGAAGAGCATGGTCAACACGGTCAAAAGCCTTAGTGAAATCGAAATATACTGTGTAAAGAGCAAAACCATGGTCCCTAGATTGGAGAACATAGTCAAAGAAAGAGAGTTGACAGGTGTCAC